CATCCGACAACATGTCTTAGTTTCGCATCTCGTTTGTTTAGTTACAACCATGAAATCATCTAATGTTGATCATGTTTGGATAGATTTATGTTTTGGAGGGTCATGGGAGAATGTTCATGGTGTTTTATAATATATGCCTTTACCCATGAATCTTCAACTAAAACTGTCATTAAAGAAGTTAACTTATGAAACCCTAATGTTACGTGTTTCAAAGAAATTGAATTTAGAGCCCCTAAGTGGATTTAGGCTATCTTATCAGAGAAATGATAAAGTTTATTTGTTAACCGACAATGAAGATGTTGAACGATTCATTGCTTACATTAATGTTTCAAGTGATGATGTTACATTGTATGTTGTTGAACCTAGAAGTAGTATTGTTGGGTCAGTAGCGGGTAGTAATCAACTAAGTGGGTCTCAAAACCCACAGCCTTTCTCTAATCCAAATCCAAATCAACTTTCAGCACCAAATTCTGGTTTTCGTATTGACCAATTAGACGATGATGAGCCAAGAGAAAAATTGTGAGTACTAGTCAGTATTCGAAATTTGATCTTGGTCAATACCCGGACTTTGATATTGGTCAATACACGGATTTTGATGATGTTTCAGAAGAAGAAACAGACCCTGCGTGTAATGATTTTGATATTGGTCAATACCTGAATTTTGATGATGAAACACCCGTTGCCGAGGAAGATGTTGTTGATGATAATGAGGAGGAAGTTACGACTGTGAATGAACATGTTGAACATCCATTCTGTAATTCATATAATCCTGAATAAGAAAAATAAGAAGAAAAAGTCCCCGAAGAAAAGAAAATACCACGGGAGTATAACTGGAATATGCCAGAATTACTTCAGCTACCGGAAGAAGAGTTGGCAAAGAAAGCAGTTGATTGTTACACAAAAGTTATTCGTATCAAGAAAGATGATTATTTTGATACAAAGGAAGACTTGAAGATAGCTTTGTATACGAAATGTGTGGAAGATGGCTATCAACTAAAAGTTAACAAATCAAGCAAAGATCGTTTCGAAACAAGGTGTATGATTGACAAAAAATATACGTGGCGTATGATTGCAAAGAGGATAAAAGATTGCACAATGTTTCAAGTTAGGACTTTTATTAATAAACATACATGTTCAAGAACCCAAGTTTTTCCTCACCATAGACAGGCAAACAAAAAGGTGTTGGGTGGTTTTCTGGCTAAGTTAATGTTTTTGAATGGCAGGGTATATCGGGGACATGAAATTATGACTGACATGAATGCTCGTTTCAAGATTAGTATATCATATTCTCAAGCTTGGAGAGCCAAATGTTATGCCTTGGAATTGTTGAGGGGGTCGCCAGAAGCATCGTTTGCCCAACTGCCGGCTTATTGTCACAATTTAAAGCTGAAAAATCCTGGGTCGGTAACTCATATCAAAACAGATAGAGATGGACGCTTTGAGTTGCTGTTTATCGCCATTGGTGTTGCGGTTAGTAAATCAATATAATTCTGTTGACTCATTTCTGTTAGTTACATGCATTTCACATTTAAATGATTATATTTCTTGTGTATATTATTTTGTAAATTCGTTCGTTTATTACTTGCATGCGCCCAGTTATTATAGTTGACGGAGCACATTTGAAAGGTCGATACCTTGGAGTAAACTTATTAGCAGTAGCCATGGATGCTAACAATGGGATATTACCAATAGCTTACGGGGTTGGCAAATCTGAAACCTCTGATTCATGGACATGGTTTATGGGGCATCTTAGGGATTGCATAGGTCCTATTAGCAATCTGACAATCATATCCGATAGGGCAAACTCAATTGACAACGCTGTTAGAAGGTGTTTCCCAGATGCTTTTCATGGACTTTGTGGTGTTCATTTGTATAGTAATCTAAAATCAAGGTCTGCTGGTATAAAAAAGCACAAATGGACATACTGGAAGGCTGTAAAGGCTTATCGGGAAGTGGATTTCAAAGTCGCATATGGTATTAAGTCTTCCCAATCCAACAGAGGTTTCCTCTTCCAGGAAATAGCCCTGGGAATATCATTTGAAGTTTTTATTGCATATGTCTTCATGGCGGGAAAGGCCTCGAATATCCAAATCTACAAACAATATAATAACAAACATTAGTAATTGTTAAATAATTAATTATAATTTTGAAAACATTATATAGAAATTCTTACCTTAAAGGCCCAAACAAAGCCTGACAAAGTGTATTTCGACCCATCGCCCCGCAAACTTTTGCGGTCATCAAAGGCAGACGACAACTTAGTCCAGGTAGCTTTCCATATATACGAACCTCACGGAAACAGATTCCATGCATTTAGGTCCTCTACCAATAATATTAGCTCCTGAGGAATAGGTTGGCTGGCCTCTCTGCCTAAAAAGCCGGCATACAAAAGTAGTAGAAGGCATACTCGGACAACATCGACGTCATTCATCCGAGTAAAATCATCTTTCTTATTAAACAATTTCTTCATATCGTCGACGTATAAGTTCGGCTTCTCTATTGACTCATCAGGAAAAACCCTGGATAACCATGATGGGCGGGTGATATGACGAGTGTACCGGCCTACATCATCGTGTCCGAATCGTAGACCAGTGATTAAGCAGAACTCCTTCCGCCCAAAACAAGTATACGCCGGTGGAAAATGAAACCATATCTCTTCCTCACCACGTTGTATACTGTCGGGTAGATCTCTAGTCATGGTCTGAAGCCACAAATGGGTCAAATTAGCATCTCCACCCGGATGTTGTACTCTCAGCCATGGCCCGAAGCAGATTTCCTCAAACAATTTTCTTTGTGCAAGTGAAAGCTTCGAAGCAATTGTAGTGGCTAGGCTAACTTTATTCCTTAATGTCAATGAAGCCGAAAAAAATTTCTACAAAAACAATAAACATACCAAGTTAGATATACCAAAAACTACACTGTCAAGATATACCAAAAACAATAAACATAAATAGTAGTTTATTCTTGAAACTAAAATTTGCAACACTGTTTTGTCTTTTGGTTGAAATGAAAATCGCAACGAGATAATGAGAATCGCAACGCGAAATGACTATCGCAACGAGAGAATCGCAACGCGAAATGAAAATCGCAACGCGAAATGAAAATCGCAACGCGAAATGAAAATCGCAACGAGAGAATCGCAACGCGAAATGAAAAATCGCAATGCGATTTTGGTTTCGCGTTGCGTTTTTTATTTCGCGTTGCGATAGTTATTTCCGCGTTGCGATTTTCATTCTCGAAACTATTCTTCTTCTGCATTACTTCAACCAAAAGACAAAACAAAGACAAATACTAACTTCACAGGCTAAACAGTTTAGCAGTATTGGCAACAATCTATTATTGAAATTACCAGTAAACTTATCATCAATCTCAATATGAAAAACCTAAAATAATGCAAAAATTTCAAAATAAAAATAAAAAAACTAACCCTCGGAGGTTGATTTTCCATTTCTGAATGATTGTGAGGGATTTTTGACTGTGAATGGTTGTGAGGGATTTCGCCGGCGATGGGGACGGAAATCTTCGGAGATGGGGACGGATTTCACCGTAGAGAGTGAGAGATGGAGATGGGACTGAGTGTTGTGATTTTGGGTTTGAGGTTATGAGTTGCGATTACTGTGGACGGTTCAATTTCCGATTTATTAAGAAAAAATTCGTGTTTGGAAATTGAAAAAAAAAATACGCGTTAATACGAATGGCGCTATGTAAATCGCGTTGCGAAAGTCAGAATCGCGTTGCGAAAATCAGTATCTCGTTGCGATTTTGTATTATCGCATTGCGATAGTAAGTATCGCATTGCGATAGTCAGTATCGCATTGCGATTTTTCCAATTCGCGTTGCGATTTACTTATTCGCATTGCGAATTGGAAAAATCGCAACGACACTGTAGACCATCGCAACGCGATTTCCAACTATCGCAACGCGAATTTGCGATAATGGAGATCGCGTTGCGAATTAACGATCGCATTGCGATTTTGTTGGTCATTTTGGCAAATCCGGAAAAAGTTGGTTAAAATCGTATATTATAAGGCATTTTTGGTCACTGAGGCGATTTTCTCTTTATGTGTGTCAAAGAATAAAAATATTATGTGTTTGTCATTTATGTTTCTAGGCTTTAATTATGTATTTTATTATAGTGTTTTATGTACTTTAAGATCTATGTTAACACTTAATTAAAATAATTCTTGGTTTATTTTATTATTATTTTTAATGGACGTGTTTGTTTTATGTTTGTTGCTTATATATAACTTAAGATTACTGTAAGGCGGGTCTAATCAGATATGTCTTTAATTTAATAATAAGTGTGAGGATAGAGAAGGATATCTGAACTCGACCCGTTTGCTATCCTTATCATATGTTGATGATGCACCGATTAAGATTATGGACGAGCAGTAAAGGTAACGTACCACTAATTCAATAATTTCAGAAAATCATTATAAAATGCCCTTATATACATATCACTGTCAGGCAGATGCAATAATGATCCTAAGTTGGAATGTTTGGTGGCCTGGGGATGCCACAAGCAGTCGACCATCTCCCAACTTTTATTTCTTATAGAAACAAAATTAAGTGCGTAGCATACATGTGTGATAAATAAGTTGAAACGCATGTTGCATTTAATTATTATGTCTTTATTTTATGAAATAAATAATATAAAAATTATATGACTTTTAATAATTAATTTAAATATTATAAATTAAATAACTACAAAAATATAAAAAAAATATTAACATCACTTTTTTTAAAATTTTCATTCTTTTTAATGCATTATAAATGGCTAGATGTCCCTTGTTCTCATATATAATGAGGATAAAAAGAGGTAAAATAATAGGCTATTTCAAATATTAGATTGAGAACAATTTCAATAGAAAGCTTCTGAATTATGAAATGACTTCTGTGAGACTCACAACCTCAAAATTAAGAACATTTTGTTCTACCAAATCATCTCTCTTTTGTTTTATGCATTATAATTCATGTTAAATGGTAAAGGTAGAATATACATGAAGAATTTATCAATTACTTGCCCTAATTTTCTCTCCCTTTCGCAAATCCAACAATAAATCGACTGATTCTTGGGAAAATCGAGAGAGAAAGAATTCCAGCTGATATATGGAGAGGATCATTGGACAGAAGTACAAACTAGGTCGCAAAATCGGAAGTGGATCGTTTGGTGAAATCTATCTCGGTGACTTTTCTTCTCCTCATCTCTTAGCTCTATTTTCTCTTTGATTATATTAATCCATCTCAAATTTATCAATTTAATATATGTTTATGTTTTTATTTGTTTTTGACTTATTTCAGCTACTCATATTGAGACGGGTGAAACTGTCGCTGTAAAGATTGTAAGTCTGCACTTAGAAACTTGTTAGCAAGTTCTGTTTTTTCTTTATTTTCTTCACTGTGAATGTTTTAAAAGAAATCTTTCAGCTGTGATATTAAGGTTTGAGTAGGATGCTGAATTGTGTAGCACAAAATTGATATAATTTTTTAACAAAAAATGGCTATTATAGGTGGTGGTATTGAAACTAATCAAGTATTTTGATAAATTTGTAAAATTGATTATGCAGCTTGATTTTATACTTGAATAGCAGCTTGAAGGTTGTATCATGTTGATGGAAAAGCTACTTTCCGAAGGGAGTTAAACCGAATTGAAATAACCTAATGAAATTTATCTCTCGTGTTGGTGTCAGGAAAACAGGCAGACAAAACATCCTCAATTGCTATATGAAGCCAAGTTGTATAATATTCTTCAAGGAGGAAGTAAGCAAAATTTTTTGATAATTTTATGATGAGAATGCAAACTTTTGTTTAAATGTTTCTTCAGCTATGTCAATTCAATTGGTATTTGCACAAATTTATTCATTTTTAGGTGGCATTGCTCGTATAAAATGGTGTGGAGTAAATGGAGAAGATAACATGCTTGTTCTTGACTTGCTGGGACCGAGCCTGGAAGACCTGTTTGTCTATTGTGGGAGAAAGTTTTCATTGAAAACAGTCTTAATTTTGGCTGATCAAATGGTAATCAGATACATAATTTGCAAATAAGAGTTGTCTAGATAATATTGCAAATTAGGTGGCACTGCTCGTATGGGAGAGTTTTCACTGAAAACATTTTGCTAATTTTCTTTTGGGTTGTTATTTGCCTAACCTTCTGTCTGAACTGCTGTTTTCTTTTGATGAGTTTTAGATTACCAGAGTAGAATTTATGCATGCTAAGGGGTTTCTGCATAGAGACATCAAACCAGATAATTTCCTCATGGGTCTTGGCAGGAAAGCAAATCAGGTATATTTCTTCAATGCTTGATTTGCATAAATGATACTTCCCTTATTTCTGCTTTATTTATTTTCTGTAACTCCCCCCCCACCCCCGGTCAGGTCTACATCATCGACTTTGGTCTTGCCAAAAGATACCGTGATCCCAACACAAATCGACACATTCCTTACAGGTAGTAATCCAATTACCAAGTTCTTGTTTAATATTTGGTTGGCTTTCCATTTTAGCATGATTAGGCAACTTCACTTGATGCTCTGTTTCTAATCCATTTTTATTTCTATGTATGAGCCTGTAAAGAATTTCACTTTTAAAAGTGTTATTTTTCTTGGCCCGTTTGTTAGTGCTTTTGCTTTTCTTTATTTGTCCCTGGCTAAGTACTCTTCTTTCTTCTATAACTCTTATAGGGAGAATAAAAATTTAACAGGAACTGCACGTTATGCTAGTTGTAATGCTCATCTTGGAATTGGTAAGGGTATTCACGTCTTTTTTTTTCTTTTTCCTATTCTTTTTAATGTCCGGCAGAGCTCTGAAGGTGTCCTGATTTCTCTTTAATCTCCGCAGAGCAAAGCTGTCGGGATGATTTGGAATCATTTGGCTATGTTCTTTTGTATTTCTTGAGAGGAAGGTATACCCCAATTCAACTGTCATTACTCTTCTATCACTCCAGTACTTTAGGGTTGTAGTTGTGCTTGTACGAGCCAAGTTTTTGCTTTGGTCTGTACCTAATTCATTGTGATGAGTTCATATATTCAAATGTTATGTTGCACAAAACTTCTAATTATACAAGTCTGATTTCATTAATTTCTGCATTTAGTCTTCCTTGGCAAGGTCTAAAGGCTGCTACAAAGAAGCAGAAGTATAACAAAATATGTGAGAAGAAAGTAGCAACGCCAATAGAGGTATTTCCTTCTTAGATATATATCCCTTGCATGAAAGAAAAATTATTTGAGCACCAGCGATTGTTCATTTTCAACAAAAATGGTTTGAGCATCATTCAATGCTTACCTATCATTTGTTTCATGTTCAAAAGGTCTTGTGCAAGTTGCACCCTGTGGAGTTTGCATCATACTTTCATTATTGCCACTCTTTAAAGTTCGATCAGAGGCCTGATTATGGATTCTTGAAGCGTCTGTTTCGGGATTTGTTTAGCCGAGAAGATATTCGACTACTTAAGTTCACCATTTTCCTCATTTTCTTCCATTTAAGTTGCATGGCTGGGTTGCTATGTTGTTGACAACTAATAATTTTGATGAACCTAGATTTCTAAACCAACTTTATTTTTTAGTCCTTTCTGATGGTGGTGGCTGTATCCTGTATCTGTGTGGGCAACATCAGACTGATATTTGCATCTTCTGGTTTCCAACTTCCTTGTATTCTATGGGGCAGGTTATGAGTTTGATTTCATATTTGACTGGACAATTCTAAAGTACCAGCAGGCTCAAAGGACAAAAACACATCCTCAATCATCTGTTAGTATTTTCTTAATTCCTTTTGGTTATTATTTTTTCTTTAGTTCTGTCAATTTAAAGACTTTCTTGCATCTCTTGAATTTTTTTTGACCCATGTATTCCATGACATCTAACCAAAATGTATCACCAGTAATTTTTTCTTATAGTTGCATGATTAAATTTGGAGGCTGCTTCATTTTCTGGTTGATTTCTTTACTTAGTCTATGTGGTTATACTTGATTCACCTGATTCCAGGATTTGCTGCCTTTTTCCGGAACAAGAAAAAACCAAGCAATGACTACGGATAAGCTTAAAGGTAAGTGCTCCAAGAATTTGTTCATAATTTTTCAACTATATTATCAGTTTGGTCACTTTTAGAGCATGGACATTTCTGCTATACTTTCCATCTTTCATAGATTTTAGTTAGTGACTTCTTGTGGAATCCATTTCTTACTTCTGAACTCATTTTGGAAATTTTCTTTTATGAAACACATCTTGCCTTGTTTTTGAATTACAGGAATGAGGGATGCTTCTTATTCAGGTGAAGTTATGGAGCACAGAGGATCAAGTAACCTTGGTCGTCCAGATGTTCGTATGCAGTTTAGACCGTCAGTTAGTCAAAATATGAGCGAAAAACATTTAAGTTACCTGATGAAGCGTGTTATATCATGTTTAATGTATGCTTATAAACTGCCTGTTTAAATCTAGAAAAGGAAGTGAATTGAAATTAATGTGGCATGCTTTTAAGGTTTGGTCCTTGCCATTTCTGTTTATTAGTTTTATTATGATGTAACTTCATCATCAGTCATTGAATTTAAAATAACTGCTGTTGGGTGTGATTGTTTCAGTTGGGGAACAGTACAGTCATGCCATCCACTTCATTTGCTCTTCCTAGTGCCTTGAAAAAGAACCTACCCAAAGCTGAGGGGCCAGCTGAAGCTACAAATAATGGTCGTGGACTTGGGAACAAAACTGGTGCTTCAAGCAGCTGGATGTCATCATTTCAAAGAATATCTTCAACCAAGTGATTGGTATAGGAGGGCATCTTTAGAAAACCATTTCATTTTAATATTAGATTATTTTGAATGAATTTCTACTTTAGGAAGCGAATGGATATACTCTATATGTCTGGCTAAGCTCCGGTTGTGATTTCAGTTTTGGATTTTAGGGAGTCCACAGCTTGTGTTTCAAGTATCATGAAGTGAGGACTTTGGATTGCTCAAGATCCTGCTGGGAGATGGCAGATTGTATCTATGCTTTCGTTGAGGTGACCATGAGAGAGCAACATATGTGGGATTGTGCTGGACCCTGGTCCATAAAAGCTTGGTTTTTTCTGCATGCATGGGGATAATGGTTAAGCCAGTTTCATGTTATATTGTTCGATGGATGATGTGTAAAGTGTTTTCTCCATTCTTCTGTTAGTAGATGATAAAATTTCATTTGTGTGATACGGTTGTTTCGACCTTGTATCTCATTTAATTCAGGATGCATTTCCTTTCTTTTCTCATTACTTCATAAATTTGGATCAAAGCCCTGGATGTTTACCTGGATCACTTTGAATCTAGTGTTCCCGCGTCCATCAGAATCTGAAAAAGTACTGTAATGTAGAGTTTGAGGTACTCGTGCTATCTTGTAATTTTTGGGAATTCTGTCAATTGTCATCACTTATATAACCGTATACTTTGTTTTATTTGCTTGACTTTATAAATTTGTCTCATTTGCCAGTGGATGTTAGAAGAATTATCAATAGCAATCACTGCTAATATTGAAGTGATACGAAGATAATTTTTGTATTTCAGAGGTTTATACCTTAGGTGATTGAGGTAATTACATTAATTTTGTTTTTTCTAGTCATGAATAACTGCATCTTTCTAGCCATTACTTTTTGTTTTCATTGAAACTCTAAAAGCCATTACATTTTGTCAATCTCTTTGAGCTCTCTGTTGTTATACCTCAGTATTAAATAGAGAGCTTGAAATGAATATAGTCGTTAATGAATTGTTCAAACATGTTCTATGTTTAATGGATATATGTGGATGTTCTTAATGAGATTGTTTTCTGGTTTCTTACCCATGTCCATTTATGCCGATGTTGATTTGCTTGTAATCATTTTATTTTGCTGTTACAGGTAGGGTGAGTGAAAGAGCCATGCCTAATAGTACTGGTGCTGTCAAGGTGGGTCAAATAATAGGTAGCAAGACTTTCCTTCGATTCCACCTAGGTACTGTGGAAGTCCAATAATCATTTAGTGGTAGTTCAGTGGTTCATGAAGCTTTGAACCGAGTTTTACCCTCTCTCGGTTATCATCATTCATGCATTATTAAGAAATAGAATTTAGATATAATCGTTATTTGTCTTCTTGTCTGATTCAAATGCATGGAGCATGCATTGGTCTTAGCATTACAAAAAAGGTAATGGAGGCAATATAGCAGGCTTACTGTTTTTCATTTTTGATTTTAAGGTCCAAGTCTGCCCACAACATTATTGGCAAATGACCCGATAGGTACTCTCTATGGTCATCATAGATAAAATCACTGCTTGTAGTCTTCTCTTATGCCCCAATTCATCAAACATCGGTTTTAGCGTTACAAAAAGGTCATGAAGGCAATATTAGGTGTTTTGTTTTTCGTTTTTGATCCAAGGTCCAGTCTTGTCCGGTGACATTGTTGGGAAATGACCCGATTGCATCCCCTCCTTGGACAAATCACTACATGTAATCGCTTCGGATGCCTATGCATGGAACATTCGCCAAAAAATGGCAAGGCATTAGAAGGTGTTTTGTTTTTTATTCTTTGCTTTGGAAGGCCAACTCTGTGCCCAGCAACATTGTGTCTTGACGGTAGCCCCTCCTTAAACATCATAACTGGATCAATGAGATCGCATTGAAATGCTTTAATTAGCATTTTGAGAAATATGATTGTCAGTGTTCGTGTTCTTCCCTATTTTCGTTAACAATAAAATCTGCCTCGCCCAACATGTTTTTCACTTTTGAATTGGATTCCATTGATGCCAAGAAACAAGTTCCGGTCAGACCAGTTCTAATTATCACCGAAAAAATAATACATCATTCTGATCCGAAATGTTATGATTCCGACAGTACAAGGAAACAAGTTCACTTCAGTAAAATAACCAACTCTTTATTTCTATCGCAACACATGGACTTAACCTAGGGATAAAATTACGGCAATAAAAGGAAAAAAGGAATTTTTTTCTTTTTGGTTTAGTTTATTTATATATTGAATATTATGTAACAAGTTATCAGCCTTTTTATAGATACTATTCAAAGTAGGGACGGGCGGGTCGGGTGCAGATACTCCCTCTCTCATCCCTATACCCACCTAATATTTTTCAATCTACCACCTGCCCACCACTCATGATGGGTACAAATTTTCAAATCCACATCCGCCCACGCGGGTACATTTTCAAATCCACATCCGCCCACGCGGGTACATTTTCAAATCCATCCCCACACCCACTAGCGACGTACCCATCTAGACTTGCCTAATAGCAAACTAATGGGATGTTGGAGTTGGTTCCCAGACAGTTCGTGATGGGGTAGCAACGCATGCTTCAATTTGTCAGATGAGTGACTCTACGAATGTTTTGGAGACAGATTGTAGGGAGCATGTAGTCGCAGAGCTGGATTGTTGAGTTGCTTTCGATGTTAATGCTCATAGTGTGCCTAATATAGGTTTTTAGGGGCTAAAGAACATGGAAACTGCTGCTTTTGATGTTAATACATATAGTACGGCTAATTTGTGTTTGAATGGGCAGCATGGGCTAAAGAACATAGAAAGTGACATGGTTAGTGGGATTATGAGTTTAATCAAAGAGCCGAATATTTCCCTAATTAAAGACCATATTAAAGACTAAATATCCTTAACATTTGGTTAAATTATATGTTATATATTATACAATATTAAAATTTATAAATTAGTCCCTAAAATTACACCTATATTCATAATGGTCCAAAATTTAATAGATATTTAGATGGGCGGGCGGATGTGGGGCGGGCGGATGCGGGGCGGGTAATGTCTCAAACCCATTACCCGCCCACCACCCACGACGGGTACCACTTTATAAATCCACACCTGCCCACTACCCGCTAAAATTATACCCATCCCCGTTCCAATTGGAGCGGATGCGGTGCGGAATCCACGAAACTGTACTTGTTTGCCGTCCCTAATTCAAAGGTTATTAAATAAAACGTTATATTTTAAGAAAAAATAAATTATAAATAATAATTTTTAATTTGTTATCAAATGAAAAGGCAGTGTTGCTCTATAGTAGTTAGGGATGAGTATTCAATCGAGTTGAGTCAAAAAAATTTGAGTTATTCGAGTTGGCGAGTCATATTTTACAACTCGAAGTTGACTTGAAATTTTTTCGAGTCGAGTTGAGTTTAAGAAATTCGAGTTGAATTGTTCGAGTCGAGTTGTTCGAGTTTCTATACAAATTTAATTGTAATTATTATAGTATATAGTACGGATTTATTCTAATTTTTCGATTTTCTCTAACCATATAAGATATATATTTTTTTCATATTCTTTTCACATTACAATGTTATTTAATATATCACATACAATCTAAAATTATAAAGTATATTTACAATATTATATTTCAAAGAAAGTGTTTTGAGGATAAAATATTAATGAGAGTATAAAGGTGCCAAAGAATTGATGTGAAGAAAGAATTTGTAAACAATTGCAGTCAAAGACTAATTTGAGTAAAATGTAAAGTTAAAGGATTAAATTAAAAAAAGAGTATTTTTAGTAAAAAGCTAAGAATTGAAGTTGCATAGGTATTCTATAGTGGTATGGGAGCATGTGGTTTAAATTTGGTCAAAAACATACTTAAAATGAATTATGAGTTGAAGAAATACAGAAATCATATAGAATTGAGGGACTAAATTGAAAAAAATAAAAAAATTATCATCAAAGTAGAATTGAAAGTACATATATATTCTATGATGGTTTAGGAGCATGTAGTTCAAATATAGTGAAAATTTGAGTTAAAATAAAGGAGGAACCGAAGAATAGGAAATCATAGACCAAATCGTAAATCTTTCAAAATAATCGTTCAAATTTTTGATTTTTCGAGTTACTCGCAATTTTGAAATTCCAACTCGAAAATCGAATTGATAATTCGACTTGACTCGAATAACTATAAATTAAAAAAAAATCAATTTTTCGAATCGAATCGAGTTTTACTCAACCCTAATAGTATTTGTCAATTTTCTTCAAGCTCACTGATTTATACATACAAAACAGAAAATAGTAAGACAATTCCCGAAAAAGCAAATCATATCCCATGCATTGGAAACGAAGCATGGAAGTTTTTGACAGCGTTTAACACTCTCTCAACGGAACGCACGGTTTCCCGCCACGTGTACAGGCCAGACACTGTGAGACGACGTGTTTTAAAATGTCGTAACATGAAAATCAGTGCAAAGGATAAATCCGTAAATTCATGAAAACTGTGAAAAAGAAGAAACGAAAGGCAGGTGAACAAAGTTGAAGATACATCTCTCGCAGGATATTCCGAACTGACCGTTTTATCCTTTAACGTCCTATGGATTTCATGCATAAAACCACAAGGGCGCTAAAATAATTCCACATGATATACTTCAGCCTTGTATTTCAGCAGGAAAAAGAAAACGCATGTAATCGACAATCTCAAAAAGTGGTTAAACGACAACCACCACCACCAAAAGTTTATCGACCAAAAGCCTGTTTTACTTTTCATCATTTAATAGTTAAACAGACTGCAAAACACATGAAATAGATTCTTCAATGAAGGCAGGAACATGAAAAAGAGAAGAGATTTGATCTGATCAGGTGAGCATATCAACATAGAATTGAAATCTGGGAGAAAAAATGGCCACAGAGACCAAAGTCAATTTAGTTGAGGTGAAGAACAGTCCAAGATGGTTCTTCAAAGGCAAAATTTGATGCTGCTATCAACAAGAAGAAGACTGAAAGCTCCAGCAAACAGCCCCTTGATGCTAAGCAAAAATCTGTCGTAACAATAACAGAGGTACCCATCTCGAATTTCCTTGTTAAATTCTTCTTTTTTAGATTTGTTGGTTTTTGTTTATTGTTTCTCAATTTCATGATCCGGGTTTCGTTTTTTTTTTTTTGGTTACAGTGAATCGTTAGTTTCTAAGTTTGACTTGCGTGTCTGTAGTAAATCTAATGATGGATGGATTCATAAGTCGATCAATTTAATTAAAATCTAATGATGGATGGATTCATAAGTCGATCAATTTAATTAACCTTTGATGAATTAGCAGCTTTGATAGTTTTGTCTGTTCTCTCGCTGAAGTGTGAATTCTTCATTGATTTTGAAGGTAAAATCGAAAACAAGTTCAAGTTCATCAAAACCTACTGCTACAAAAACTAAAGTTAGGGAGAAGAAGGTTTATACTTTGCCTGGCCAGAAACATGATCCTCCTGAAGAGGTTGTCTTCATATAATCTCAAATCTTGCATTTGTCCAGAAACTAG